CATATTAATTTAATTGTGTTCATGTTATTATTGAAATGATTTTAGTTTTATTATTTAAATTTTTACGAATCTCTCAATATTTTATTTTTGGACTTACAAAAATACAGTTATTGTTCTTACAAAGTTATAAAAAATTCAACTATATATTTTAAATTGTTTTATTCAATTTTAAAAATGACATTTTTTTTATAAAATTCCGTGGGGCCCATAGTGCACATGGGTCCACCATGTGGCATGTGGGTGGGGGCCCACATGTGCCACAAAAGGGTGGCACGCCCTACCCTCTGTGGATTCTCTTGTTTGCTTTTAAGATAAGGTTAGTTTGATTCGTGGCATGCGGTCAAATCTTGGAAGGGATATATTGACCATGGCTTTATCTATGTTGTAGCAAGTTTGTTTTAAAGAGATATGGTCAATTTGAATTTATATTTGGTAGTATTTATCTACTTGATATTATTTGACATATCCTGATCTCTCACCCCACAAATCACCTTGATCAACGGTCGAGATTCAATCTCATGAAAGAGGCAAACTATGGAAAAACCCTAAGAAACCCTAAAACTAAATATTCACTATAAATAGAGGTGCTCTCCCCCCAATCTCAACACAACCTCTCTCTCTCCCATAACTTCGCTCTCTCTAAGAGGGTCACGCCCCACTCTCTCTCCTCCATCTTTCTCTCTCTCATTTGCTCTCTTCAAATTTTAGGTGGTACTCTAGATCTAAGTTAATTTTGGGGGTTAAAGTTTTAGTACAGTTTTTAAGGGGTGATTATCTAGTTTGGCCGAAATCAGCTATCCTGGTTCGAGGTTGAAGCTAGATCACAGATCCTGCGCCATTGGATGTGGTGACTCGGTGTGGTGTGTAAAAAGCCCCGTTGAGATAATCTCCGGCATCTTTTCTTTTATTTGTTAAGTTCTTTTATTATATATTCTCAAGCACAATATTAGGTTGTATGAATGACATCAAGTAGCTGAGATTTATTTTTTTTGGAATTTCTATTGTTTGTAATAAGACCATCTGTGAGTGATCTTGTTGTCAAAATTATAAGGGGTGATTATTAATTAAAAAAAAAAAAAAAAAAAACTTTATTTCTCCAGCAAAAGATCACATAGGTCTTTCTTTCACTCCCATCTTTCTCTTTCTATTTATCTAACAATCCTACCTAGAATAGGATCATGGAATCATACGGACTAGGAAATCTATAAAGCTCATTCTAAATAAAATAAAAACCTTTTTAACCCCTATATGAATATCCCTCGAATGCAGTCCCAACAATAAATAAATAAAAACAAATATCTTGGATGCAATTTGCATCATGCTCCCGGGTTGGAAAAAAAACTCGTCTCGAGTTTTTGTTGCAGCATCATCGACTTCCCTTAGCTGATGGTAAAGTCCAACATCCCCACGCAAATGTTCTTTGTAAGGCATGGGATTAAACACTCTAAATAATAAAAAAATTCTCCATCCACCTAGCCAATTCCAGGACAAACATCCAAACACATTTAAATATGGGCGCATGGAATAAGATCTTCAACTAATTGTATCGGCCAATTGATTCCTTATGAAAGAAATATCTTTCTTCCAACCGGGTGTCTTCTTATGAGGCTTCTTCTTTGTCTTGAACGCTTATGATAACCATGCCTTGAGTTGTATGTTATCAATTTTCTTAAAAGGTTGCAACTCCTGATGTCGATCTGACATGACCCTCGTCATTTCATTGTATCCCATTCCCACGAGGCAAACATTACTATCAAGACATGCAGCTTTCAAGGTAGTCGACATGGTTTTGCTATAGCCTATATAGTCAACAATCACATCAATCGTCTCAGAAAGCTTGTTAAAGGGTGAATTCCCTTGTGTAATTTCTAAAGGAGATTTTCCCTGCAATGATAACATAACAATCACATGACTATCTTTGGTTGTAGCAATTATTAGGCCAATGTTTTGTGGAGAATAATAATAGGGGAAAACTGTGTGAATTTTTGTACTTCCCCCTTGAAAGTTAGCATCGATAACTTCCATGCATTCTCTAACCATACAACTAGCATGTGTACAAATACTTTGTCGATCAACACCAAGGGCTTCAAGCACACATCCCATAAACCCTTCCCATTCATATCTCAAACCAAAAAGTAGACGTTTAAAACTCATACGATTGTGCCTAAGCTGACAAGCTTCCCCAAGGAAAATTTTTAACGCGTCAAGAGAAATTTTCAAAACATGCATGGCACATGGAGATGTTATCTCTATGTAGCAAGATCATTGTCTCTTGCAATAATTTTCTCAATCTCTACATAAAGCACCTTTCATGTTATTTCCCATGGACGTCAAGACTTTGATTGCAAAACCAGTCCCTTCACCTATAGGCCCCGATAAAGATTTGTTCAATTGCAACAAAGTTGTCAAAGAGATTACCCTTCTTTTCTTGTACAAGTATAATAACTTGGTTTGTCCTTTCAATAAGAACCTTAAACAAATTAATAACTTATTTCATGAACCAAACATCATCACATGATTTCCATAGTCGACGATGGGGCTTCTCTTCCTTGTAAGTAGCATCAACTCTAATTCTAGTGCATTGACCAAACATCAACATGCTCCCACCATGAATTATCATCCCCACATCTCTTGAACATCCCAAATCAGCAGCATTAATAAGCAGATACCACATAAAATGAAATTGTTGAAACCATACTTCAAAGATTTCACACCAATTACTAAATGGTTCCAATAAATGATTGAACCATCAAAATTCATCACAACCATTCCACACATCATGATTAGGCTTTTTCGAAACAGACAACCAGCCACGACTTTCCATGTTCATACCATAATTTTCATCGTCTCCACTATATGTGATAGGAAGTTGGATTGAGAATTGAGCCACACCCTCCTCTTTGGAAGATTTAGGTGGAATCTCCTCACTCATTGACAACAAAGATGGTTCATGTCTAACCATCAAAACTTTGGTTTGATCATAAAACACTATCTTTGTTTTCTCATCCAATCCCAAATCCCATTTTATTGTAGTCAGGGGTTGCCCTTCCATGTTCACTAGGAGGGAATCATTTAAAAATCCAACATTGTCTTTAACAAAAATAATGTTAAAAGTCAACATTTCCTTCTGATCAATACAATGTTGAATTTCTTCACAATCAGATTTAGAATCCTCCAGACTTTCATCAATAAAAGTACTAAGCATAACCCTAAATATCTCTTTTTTTTTAGCAGATTGATCTACAATTACATCTACTATTTTCTCATTAGATTTAGGGCCTTTTGTACCTTCTAAGGTATCAAACTCTCTAATGAAAAATTTAGGGATTTCTTTGTTCAAGAAATCACATACTTTGATTGTTTACATGTGTGATGTTCAGGTTGTGTTGTAGGGACAACAACTTCCAGAGTTAGAGGCGTCAGTATCCTAGCTTGGGATGATCCAGCTCTAGGGGATCTGGATGTAGGAAAATTCTTTCTTTGCTCGTCTCGACATTGATTTTGGTCTACCCCCCTATGCCAATGACATCAGCTTTGGGGTTGTCAATCGCCCAACTGTTCTCTGCATTCATGATCTCGTCAATGATGTCGTGCATCGAACCCATAAGTGTGATCAAGCATAACATCAGGCCGTTCCCACTCAGACTCGCGCTCTAATCTACGCCGATCTCCACTAGAACTCACACAATATGGATCTAATACCGTAGATCTCATCTTGTTCGATGTGTGTTTGTTGCAATCTTTCTTTTTGCATCTACTTTTCAACCATCTCTGTCAAGTTGTCGATTTTCTTGTGCATTTGGTCTTGCTCGGCATTACGACCCTCCATCGTAGTCGCATACCCTTTTCGAACCATGCTCTGATGCCAAATGATGCAAAAGGAGTCCGAGAAATTAAATCCGGTCTTCTTTTGATCTAAACAAGCAAGTTTCAACAATAATGGAGGAATAATGTGGTTGTAAATCAAGCCATTGAAAGTAGAAACTCTATTTCTTCATTCATAAAAAATCTCTACAAAATATCCCTTTTCAAACTTTCCTATTTTCTCTCATAGATCCTCTTGTATAGGAAATTTCTCTACCCCTCACCCATTATTCTCTTTCTATTTATCTAACAATCCTACCTAGAATAGGATCATGCAATCATACGGACTAGGAAATCTATCAAGCCCACCCTAAATAAAACAAAAATCCCTTTTTAACCCCTATATGAGTATCCCTAAAATTCAGTCCCAACTATCTATATATATATATATATATATATATATATATATATATATATGTAGTAGTGTCTACACTACTACTTACTATTAATTTTACTACAAGAAACGGTAACTACTACTTCGTAACAAATAAGTAAGTTAAGT